ACGTAATGATTTTCCTGAAGCCGACACCCTGCACACTTGACAGGAGGGAACTGACAATCTGAGGAAAAGTGCTAATTGAATTGTTCAAATTTTCCTGTTCTATTTCCACTATTTATTTCCACCCAAACCATTTACAGTTTGATTTTATGTAGACACAGTTTAGAATTTTAAATGGTACAGGTAAAAAAAAAAATCATACTTTATGATTTGATTTATGAAGGTACACTGTAAAAATATTGATCAAAATATTTTGTGTCCTATTTTTTTCTTTTTAGCTAAACTTAGACCTATACGCTATACATATGAGCTAAATTTAAGGTATATTTGCAGGAATTTTCAGCTACAGTTTGTGAAGAGTTTCACTAGTGAAAGTCAAAGTCAGCCCATGCTTTGGTTGCCTGCCTTTGCCTTCTCTATATTGGCATTTTTTATGCCTCTGGGGCAGAGATAACTGTGGACAGAGGCATTGTGTTTTCGATTTGTCCATGCCATTCTTGTGAATGCTTTATCTAAAGAACACCTTGAGGAAATTTCTTTAAATTTGGCACAAACATCCACTTGGACTTGATGAACTGATCAGACTTTGTTGGTCAAAGGTCAAGGTCTCTACCTCACAACCTCACAAAACATGGTTTTGACCATAACTCAGAAATTCATATTCTAATTATGACAAAATTTTACACAAATGTCTAATAGGATAAAATGATGAAGTGATGACATTTTATATCCAAAAGGCCAAAGGTCAGCTTCACTATTACATTATAATGTAATGCAAAAACATTTTTCTGGCCACACTCATCTTGGGTGTCCATCTTGAAACTACGCTGATTGCATAGATTTTCAGTGCTGCTGAGGGGAAGATGTGTTTGAAGCATCCATGTTTTGACAAACATGAATATAAAGTGTTACTGCAACTTAACAGGCTCATGCAGGCATACAACCTTGAAGTGGTAATTCTACTTTTTTCAGCTCTGTGTAAGTGATTTTTGTAGCTTCCTCTTGGATGTGTGCTGCTTACAGTCTGGCACCTGGTCCCTTGCTACCTTTTCATAAAGTCATAATGTCACCTGTGTCCTGTGCCTGACCACAGCAAAATGAGAAGAAAATAAGATAATCCAGGCAAAGGGCAGATTATCTGTGGATAAATACATCACCTCATTCTTCTAGTGGGACATACAGTGATTGACGATTGGGAGAGATTACTGTTGTATGAGTCAATACATTGTCTTTTAGAAAATTCTTGGATGGCATAAATTCAAAGTAAAAAAAAACAACAACAGAAAAAGCAATTTTACAGAATTAGGCAATCTAGACAATTTAGACAGCTGTAGTTTCCGGTGTTGAGCCATGTGTTCTCTTGCTAGGTTTCTAGCAGTTTTAGTTCTGTGCAACAGAAGGCACAACTGTATGTTATTGATTTCATTATCTGTGTCCACATAAGCCTAAGAAGATTTGACAAGGTCCATGTTCTAGCTTTTCCCAGAGCTGTTACATGAACTCTATCCTCTGGGGAAGCAGTTTAAAGCTGTGAAAAAAGCTAGTAAGAGGACCTTGAGTTAGGCCTTTTTGGTCAAAGAGACCAAATTTCCAAGGTCAAGCATGGGCCAATTTCACATCATGTTCTATGAAATAAATTAGGGCTTTTGAACATTTTGAATGTTGAATTTTACATCTTTCATTTTAATTTAAGATGCTCAAAAGAAATATACATGTATATATATATATATATATATANNATATACTTTATTTGTCTTATCGTTTATCTTTTGGTGTGTGGGATCTTCATTAAATATATCAGCAAAATTCTACCAAACATTTCTTTGTGGAACACACTGTAATGGAATCTCCATATCTGATATCCTTGGCAGGTCAGCAGACTTGGATACTAAGAACAGAGGTACACTGATATTGCCTCCATTAAAAGCCAGGCTCACTACCAGCCATTGTGCTCTCCTTCAGTCTGTCCCCACCCCCACTGGCACACAACCTAGCCAAGCATGTTTTAGAGCAATAAAGTACAGTCAGTGTTAATGCATGTCTTTATTCTCAGGGACAGAGAAAGTTTTGTTCACCATACACTGCCTTTCCACTTTCAGGCTGCAGGGAAACCATTATGATCATTAAACCACAGCAGGGTAGAGTGCAATGCACAGATACACACAATCACATAAAGCCATGTCTGAAAGTGCTTTGTTTTAGTCTCCTATATACTAAAACAAAGCATTTCAGCTCTGAAATAATGTGACTAAAGCCCAGAAACACAAAACAGAAAAGTATACATATAACATTTTGAGTCATGCTTCCTTGACTATTTCTTTAATTTTTCTGTTCATGCAGAGGGGAGGGGAGAGGATTGCTATACTGATCAGTTTATCACTCTGACCAGCATCCTAGACTGGTATTAGCACCAGGGGCATTTCTAGGATTTGAGGACATCAGGGCTTAGTTCACACCTCTGTAGGGGGGGGGGGGGTCTGGGGGATCCTATCCCGGGAATTTTTTTTTATGAACAAGCTCTATTTTGATGCTTTTTATGCACTCTGACCTCTTAATTACCCATAAAAGCTGTTTATTTTTAATTTTATTTTGCAGATTAGTTATGAATTGTAATGTCAAAATATTAATAGTTGTTCGTAATTAGCGTTGAGTTGAAACAGATTACTTTATAACCACTATCATTAAACTTTAGAGAATGTTTAGGTGCTTGTACTTTATACTTACTACTACATTATACTTTTACTCGACTACATCTCAGAGGGAAACACTGTCATTTTGACTCGTCTACATATATTTGTCTGTTACTTTTAAAACTTGATAATACAAAATGTAATCAGCTGAAAAATGATGACGTATAATTGTACAATAAACTACCCAAAAGTATTTAAAATGAGCTCCACCTTTACCCAAAACATACATTTCTGATCAACAAATTGCATTTTTTTATATTGTTACCAAGCCTATTCTGTGTGTGTGTGTGTATATATATACATATATATATATATATATATACACATATATATATTGGTGTTGAGAGACAGAGACAGAGAGAGAGAGAGAGAGAGAGAGAGAGAGAGACAGGCCCGAAATACACACACATGCACAAACAGGACCTATACATGCATTAAATGAAGAGCTCTTAGAGTGAATGGTTTGCCCATGTGCCTCAAATATTGGGGGTTTAGTGTCTTGCTCAAGAGCCCCTCAGTGGTGCCCAGGAGGAGAGGTGGCACCTCTCCAGCTACCATTCCACGCCCCATTCTTATTATGGACTTGAGCGGGTGACCCTCCGGTTCCCAACCCAAGTCTCTAGTCTCTGATATACTGCCACCTCTATATGTTCTTATGTCATATATGATGATGAGAAACTGAGGTGAGAAAGTTCATTCTTGACCTTGAAAACTTGACAAAAAATTCAGAGAGATTCACTTTTTAGGTGGGCTGTATATTAAATTCATGAGAAACCTTTTTAGGTTCATGTGAACACAAACATTAGTATGAGATAAATGGCTTATCAAGGTCCATGCTTCAGCACCTCACACTGTCACAGTGTCATGTAAGAACCATTCTAGACCAATCAGTAGAATTTTGACAATACCCAGATACAGTGGTGAGGTCCATTCCTCCAAGTGTCTCCAAAACCCAACAATGAAATCAAGAAAAATAGCTGCAGAACAGTAGAAGCCAGAGATATATTGTAATGACAGGAGGTTCACTTTTAAGGACAAACCGAATCAGGAAAACATGCACAAAACACTTATCCTTTTTACACAGAGATTGCGCTTTAGGGCCACTACGAAGTCCCTTCGCATTTTTACACAGAACCCAGGACCAGTCTGCGATTTTAGACAGCATCACAGAAGCAGAATTGACATGAAAGGCATCACATGTTACACAACAGCGTCAGTCTCTAAGTGATAACAATAGCATAACAAAGCAATAACAATCATTTACTGTTCCTTGTTATATGGCAGCTGATCTTGTCCTCTGCTCGGAGGGTAAAGGCCCTGACACACCAAGCCGACGGTCGGCCGTCGACCAAAGTCGGGCCATCGGTGAACATCTGACAGCTTAGTTAGCCCAGTTAGCCTCCACTAGTCTCTGAGCTAGCCCCGGCTCTCTGTTTGGATCCAACCGGAGCACCGAGCCCTGGTTTGTTATTCAGGTTAAAGTGGGAAGAAGCAGTGGGTTTATTAGGCAGCTGAGTGAAGTGGAGCCTGTGGAGGAAACACTGGGACCGTCTGGATGTAATAGTCCGTGGAGGTGCTTCAGTGCTTGGCTGCACAGATAGGAAACCCCTCGGCTGTCAGGATGTACTTTCTCTCTCACGCAGGCGCAGAAGGTACGTGCCACTTGGCCATCGCATGTAGTCCGTGTAGTATGTTCAAATGCAACTGACACAGAACGACGTGAGGCGACATAGACGACGGAACAGTTGGCTTTTGTTGCTGCTAGTTCTTTGATGTCGGTTTGGTGTGTCCGCACCGTGAGGATTGTTTTCCTGATTTGCAGAGATTCTCTGCGGCTGTTCTTCCTATTTGAGTTAGCTGCTAACTGCTATCAGCTACTTTTTAAATCTCCCGGCAGTGGGTCTCACGAATAACATGTCGTCAAAATATCCACCCATGATCCCGCCCTGCTGGCTGTCCCTTTTATACAGAAGTTGTTTTGGCGCTGTTACTACCCCCGATGCTGGCTTAAAGGTGAAACAACTCTGTCCCTACCCATTCTGTGATTGTACCTATTGTACAGAATGGCGAAGCGGAATAACAGTGTGCAATTTCTGCCTTGAAGAGGCAGAGGCAAAGGGGCTCTATAACTAATCTCATTGTTTTTCTGTTTGTCTTCTCTTTCTCCCTGACAGTATTTTCTTTCTGTTTTTTTTTATTATTTGGATTCATTTGTGCCCCAGTTACTTTAGAGTGCCTTCACTAACTCTCAGGAATCAGTGGATGTTTTACTGTTTATCTGGCTTTGTCTAATCAGTGTGTTTCTTCTTACAGATGAGATCATGCAGCAGGATATCAGGCCCCTGCTGGCTGTGGACATCATAGAGCAGCTTCATCGCCAGTTTGCCTTGCTCTCAGGTATGTAACAAGACTTCATGGTCCCACTGCTCTGCTGTCCACACCTGGAGGTTGTGAGGAGTATTTAAATGGAGAGCTTGGAAACATTAATACTGGTAGTCAAACCGTTGTCAAGACAATAACTTACTGCTGCAAAACATTTTACATGCAAATTGGCTGTAAAATGAAGTTGAGTTTCAGGTCAAAAGCTCTGTATTGTGTGGTACATCAAATCTAAAAAAAAAAATGCAGTAATTTACTAGTACTTGTTAAGGATACATTTTTAAAAATATGTTGAAATCAGATTTTATTATTTTCCACAGAAATAACTTTAACTTGTTCTAGATTACTTTCAGTGATAATCTGCAGCCTTGTTTCTTCACTCTATTTTTGAAGACATACTGATCTTTTCTTGTTGTGGTGAACAAAGTCTCCTTGAACCAGACAACAAAACCACATTTGAATGAATGAGGCTATAAAAAATATTTTTTTCTTTTCTTTTTTTTTTTTAAACTGCCAAGAATGAAAACAATGAGATTTAAAGGAGCCTTCCAGCAGTGTAGCATTGAACTTCCACTGAGTTGGGAAACTCAAGAGACAGATTCAAAACATATGGTCAAACATTTTCTAGCCCCCCATGTGGGTGTAGCTTAAAAAACACTGGTTCCTACTTTGCAATCAGCAGCATATCTCCCAGCACAACCTCACTATTTGGTAAATGCCCATGTCATTTAAACACCTGTCTCCATGTTAGGCTTTCTGCTAAATATGGTTATGTGTGCTGAGCCACACCTTAACCTGGATCCACCCAAGACTAGCTTCTACAAAGGTCAACTCACAGATTAGGCAAAGACTTGGCTTCCAGTGCAATTGTACAAACATTTCTGCAGTACAACTGGATGGCCATATTACTGTAATAAAATGAATATTGAAATGCCAAAGCAGGCACTTAGATTTTAAATAGTGACAATACTGTGATCCTTAAATGCCATCCTACCTCTGTGAACCAGGAAGTTTACTAACAAAGACCACACCAATAAGATAAAGATTTTGAATGATTTATTGCATATGATGGATTTTGGGTTCTGAGGAAAGCGTGGAGGGGTGAGGATCGAGAGATTAGGAAAGAAAGGATGTGGATGGGGGATGAAGGGATGAGGGTCGAGGGTTGAATGGATGAGGGATGAAGGAATGAGGGATGAAGGGTTGAGGGATGAAGGATGAAGGGATGAAGGATGAAGGGATGAGGGGTTGAGGGTCGAATAGATGAGGGATGAAGGGTTGAGAGTTGAATTGATGAGGGAAGAAGGAATGAGAGATGGAGGGTTGAGGGATGAAGGATGAAGAGATGAGGGGTTGAGGGTTGAATAGATGAGGGATGAAGGGATGAGGGATGAAGGGTTGAGAGTTGAATTGATGAGGGATGAAGGAATGAGGGATGAAGGGTTGAGGGATGAAGGATGAAGGGATGAGGGATGAAGGGTTGAGGGTCAAATAGATGAGGGATGAAGTGGTGAGGGATGTGGGATGAAGGGTTGAGGGTCGAGTGGATGAGGGATGAAGGGTTAAGGGTCGAAAGGATGAAGGGATGAGGGATGAAGGGTTGAGGGATGAAGGGTAGCAGGGTAAGGATCAAGGGATGTAGAGAGAGGAATGAAGGTATGAGGGTTGAAGGATGAAGGGATGGAAGACTGAGGGTTGAGGGATGAAGGTTGGGTTTCCGGGTTGCTGGCTCCTGGCTCCTGTATGCAGAAAGGAGCAGAGAACATGATGTAAGAGGCAAGATGGGATTGGGTGGGTGGGATGTGAGAAATGTGTCGAAGGGAAAGAGAATGCATCAGGTGTGCTTAAATACTATTGGGCAGAAATGGAATGTGTTCGAGACGTGGTCTTTGTTCACGAACCTAGTTATAAAACTACATATAAAATAATTAACTATGCCCACACAACTACAAAGAAGGATATGATTAATAAAACAGACTGACTGTCAAAAGACCAGCCTTTATCCACTTTTCTATAACCACGTTTCCCTTAAATCATACACACACAGAGGCTTACCCCAAAGTGTTGTGCAATACTTTGTGCACAGCAAACCAAAGATATGATACATACTTTACTGATCCTAACAGGATATTATTTCCTATGGCAGCTACATTCACAATCAAACACAAACAGGAAACACTTAAACATACAACAAACGAAGCAAAAAAGCTAAAATAAAATACTAAAAGAACCACAATCATTTGTTTGTATTGTGCAATGTTGTTTATCTAAAAAAAAGTATAAAAGGTATATTAATATAAATACAAAAAGTATATACAAAGTATCACTAAAAACTTAAAATGTAAAAGACATAACATGTGAAATTTACCTGTATGAATATAAAAAAATATATGTACAAAAAAAATATATGTACACACACACACACACACACACACACACACACACACACATCACGGACACACGCACACACACACACACAGCGTAGAGACAGCAACACAACTTTTTAAAAGGATTAAAAGGAACACAGGAGGTTTGTCTCAAAAGACACAAACAGAAATAACTAATGGCAAAAAATAAGTTGAATATATGCGAGGCAAAAAATAAATAATAATACTAATAAATAATGATAAAAAAAGGGAAAACACACTGTAGGGAAACATTTGCAAACTATCCTAAAAGCAAAGAAAACTGAAGTAATAGAAGAAATATCAGATTTTCTTGGGGTGGCCTTCAAATAGAACAAATACTTATTTGTTTCATACTATGGTCATATCCTATAGCACAGCTCAAATGCTACTTCTCTGGACATCTACGTCACAGAGAAACTTCTTTTATTGCTTGAATAAGGCAAACAGATGAATTCTAAACCAGGAAGTGCTCTTCATTTCACCTTAGCACAACTTTATATTAGACACACTAACATATACACAGGCAGGAAGTCACTAACTGTGCATACCACTTAACACAGGGTGCAAAATGTCTTTACAGTCACAACATTAACTGTAACCCATTAGAGCCATTGTGAAATACGTAAACATTAATCACTGTGTAATGGCTAATGAGAGTGATTCAGAACACATTTCTTCAGCTTATGGCTTTAAACACAATCAGTACGTTTACATGCACAGTTTAATTCCACTTTTAATCGGAATGAAAGGCCATTCTTATTAAAAGTGGTCATGTAAACGGTCATTCCGATTGAAAATTGGTCATTCCTATTGAAAATTAAATCCGATTAAAGGGGGTGGTTTATTCCGTTTGTCATTCCGAATGAAAGAAATTTGTGTGCATGTATACACTCATTCTTCTTTAAGTTCATTCCGGTCTTTCTGCGCATGCTCGTTTCCTTGCCCTTCTGGCGCGATGACGTATATAGCGTGCATAGCAACAGGCTGCATAGCAACAGGCTGAGATAGAGCAGTTGGACTTGTTGCACTCACCGGTTTCCATTCGCCACAGCACGGTCTTCTATCTCCCTTCTTCGACCTTCTACCTCTCTTCTCCTCCTCAACAGACAAAGCATTAGCAGAACAAGGTTGTTGTCGTACTGCTGCTTCAAGAATATAAGCAAAACAAACCCGAAAAACACACTAAGAAGGGCATCGTCAAGCATCTTGTTATCCAGAGCGAGGACTATACAGTGTTTTCTTCCGGTAAATGTAAACACATAACATCCACCCCGCCCCCTATCCAATCAGAAACCTTCCCTGCCCCAAACCTTGCGCAGACCTGAATAAAGGCTACCTGGAAAGACTTTAATTCTGAATGATTTCATTCAGATTTATTTCATTCCGAATGAGAAGCTATCATGTAACCGTAGCCATTGTCTCACAGCATGCTGGGAAAAACCACCCATTTAGCCCCATCACACCACAAGTGCACAATGATAGTGTTGTTTGTTGGCTGTCAACTAATTGTGCAAAATTGGCTGTATAAATTTTAGTCAAATTAACTCAAAACTCAAAAATTGTTGACTTAACAGAAAATAAATAATTCAAGCTCACAAGGGATGAGTTTTTGTGTCAAGTGAACATAGAGTTTTTATGTCATTTTGACAATCCGGAGCAATTGTGTAGACTTAACATTAAAATTTTGTGTCATGGATGGTTTGGGGTTTTACAGTATAAAGCACTACACATACCTTGAACAGGATTTCAGACTCCCTATCTGCCAGCGTCATTGAGAATCTGTAGCAGTTTTAGCAACTACATACACACACTCCCAGAGGACAGCTTTACTGGTGTGTGTTTAACGGAGGATCTAAATTGTGCCAAGAAAGGAAAGTTGAAAAGACTATCTTGTTGTGGTTTTGGTGTTATCCATGTGTGGGAAGTGACAGTTAAGCTGATGGGAGGAATTAATGTCATGTGGCAGTGTCCAGCCAGCTGAAACAGACTTGGCAGGGGCAAGTATGAAGTGGGAGAGATTTTGGATGTAGTTATGTGGTGTGAGAGCCCAGGCAGAGATAACTCTGATGATATCATCACAATCCTTCACTATTCTCTCAGACTTGACAAATCTCATCCAGAGACACAGCACATCAGACTGTTCACAGGCTGAAAAGACCAAATGCCTTTGACTGTATGACCTTTATGTATAAAATTGGTGGAGATTCCCTTAAACCACACACCAGCCACATGCAATCTGCAGTACATAGAGATGTATACCTAACCGCACACATCAGTCTCCATAGGATATTTTACAATTGAGTCCCTTTCTTTTGGTATCTGCTGTATGTCATTACACTGTTCCACCAGTGGGCTACTGTTTTTACAACAGATGACACTTCCTTTGTACTGTATGGTACCTTATATTATAAGACTCTATCCTCCCTATACTGTAATGTTACACCAGCCTCTGCTCTTCCTTTGCGTTTACGTTAAGGTGCCAGAAACTTTATTATCTCCCAGTATGTGCTGTGTTATTGCAACACTCTATATCTCCCCAGTCTCTCCTCCACCTCCATTTCAACAAGCTTTCTCCACCTCTAATGGTATTTAAGATTACCCTCGATGTCC